AAAAAAAAAAAAAAAAAGGATACAATGTACACAAATATTCACATACATGCTTATAAAGATACGTACATTGTTTTCTTTTTCCTAATGATATATATATATATATATATATATATATTATGTGCCACTGTCTGGGTCTCATTGTGTTTCTTCCCTTTTTTTCGTTTATATAGTTATGTAGAGATATGTCTTTTTTCTTGTTTTTGATAAGGATTATTCTTCAAAAAATAATTTTTATTTGACATTCTGCTATGCACAATCGTTTTTTTCTTCTTTTCTTTTTCTCTTCTCTTGTTTTGTTTGCCGTTGTGTTTATCACCACAAAACAATATATATCGAAGGAAAGGATACGAGCAGGAGTGTGGTTCGTGGTGTTTTTCGAAGATCAATATATATAAAGATCGCTTAATACTGAAACCAGAGGTCTAGAGAAATACGCCGACTACTCCTTGCAGGAAACTCACCTAGAAGTAAATACGTAACTATACACGGAACTATAGAATTATAGGCACATATACACACCTATATATATATAAATATATCCATTATAATCATTCCTAGTCTTTTTTTTTTCTTTGGTTTTCGTATCTGTCCTTCGGCCAATAAGAAATCCGAAAACAAAACAAAAAAAAAAAGACATTCCTAGACAATGTTCGAATCAACCCTTGTTAGTGAAGAAAGAGCTCCGCTAGATACATACAACAGGCCTACCGCTAGTTCTTCTATTGCTGTTACGGAAGCGATTCCGTCTCTTTGCGAGGTCTTGGTACATAATACCGACGTTGGCCCGCATGAGCACACAAATAGCATTAATAGAAGTTACTCAGATTTAGATAGTAAATGGTTTTTATTATATGCCTCTGGTCTTTGTTGGGCACGGACAGCATTACAACAGCCATTTAATCTTGCACTCGCACGTCAACAAACATGTAGTGCTGCTAGTTCCATGTCTGCTCTGCAGATTGTACGTCATGTTTACCGTTCAGAAGGTAGACTGCGTGGTCTCACACAGGGAATGGCCGCCCTCACATTAGGATGTGCTCTTAGTGAAGGGATGTATTTATGGTTGTTTGAATACAACCGTGAACGACTTCCGTTAGAGAATGACACCTCAAGAGATGCGGTGTCTGGATATATCTCAGATGCGGCATGCCGTTTAATTCATTTACCTCTTAGCATTGTTGCCCTTCGACAAATGACAGCCAATAAAGTGGCGGGTCGCAGTACACAACAGAGAAATGGAATGTTGCGTACATTCTCAGGAATGTACCGTGAAGGTGGAATACGTACGGTGTTTGCTGGATACGGCACAACCCTATTAGTGGGATGTCAATGGACTGCCATCTGGTGGGCAATGTATGGCTATATGAAGAGTCAACTATATCAACTAGCGGATGGATTTTTAGAGGATGCGGAACAGTTGAAAAAGAAGAGATATTTAAAATCAGAAGCCGAAGACCATAAAGATAATTTTTATTCTACATCATCCCTTTCTTCATGGAAAGAGTGGTTATGGGCAAAAGATGATAATGTTATCTTAAACTCTACCGCATCTTTCTGTACCAGTGCGACGACAGCCGTGTTATTTAATCCCTATTTGGTTTTACGTGCCAATCTACAAGTAACACCAAATGCTTGTATGTGGAGAGTTGCACGGGATTTATATCGTACGCGTGGAGTACGTGGTTTCTACGGTGGACTTGCATTAAATATTGCAACGTGTCTAATAGATGGTGTGTTAGCATCTACATCATATGAGTACGCCAAGTTATGGTCGGATAAGACGCATATGCAGAAAGGTATGTAGAAGAGAAATTTCTAGTTTTTTTTTTTTTTTTTTTTTTTACTGCGTGTGGCTTGTTTACCTTCTCACTTCTTTTCTTTTTTTTCTTTTTTTCTTTGTGGGATGTGGGGAGGGATAGAGTATTATATGAAGGAGTGTTTTTTTTTTTTTTTTTTTTTTTTTATTATTATTTATTTTTGTTTGTTTTTCATTCTTATTTCCCACCATAAGTCCATGGAAGAACTCCACTGGACTCTGAACTGCTGGTACTGCTGCTGTGTATATGTGCGGGAATAGGTAGAGAGAAGAGAGAAGAAAAGAGAAAATGTGAGTGAGAAGAGGGCCCCTTTACGCAGGCGGAGTGAATAATAGAGTGGAAAAGAGAATTATAGGAATAAAAGAAGGGAAATATAAAATATAGAAGATTATTAATAAGAATATAAAGAAAGTAATAAAGGAAAATAGATGCAAATTGCATTCATATACACGTTTTAGTATATTTATGGGAAAGCAAAGGAAATCTTTGCGTATATATATATATATATATATATATATAT